CCGGCAGTGGCCTCCAGTTTTTCTTGTTTAATTTTTTGAATTTTTCTTCATTTGTCTTAGATAGGCCCGACCTCTCCCTTTGGGCCAGCCCTATGGGGTCAAGGGCCGGGCCAGCCCAGGGCCGCCCATTTGTACTTCTTGTTGAGGGCACTGCTAAAGAGGAAGAGGCCCCGACGCTGCCCCAACACCCACAACTCATCAATCATTTGCACCAGCCGACTATTGTGGAGGAGGATTCATGAAACGGTGTGAGATCGGCAAAAGAAAACACAGACTGCCCATAGATGCTCAAGCAATTATTTTACAAGATTAGGGATGTGCTTAGTTTAATAAATATCGACTTAATACATTCTTGTAGGGGGACCAGTATGGAAGAAAGTCGCCCTCGCCAAAGATTGTGGGGCTAAAAATGATAGCTTCCGTGTCAAGGTTTTTATTTGACTCCTGTTTTTTTTTTTTGGTGGTGGTTGAATAGGTTTTTATTCCACTCTTCTTTTCAATTTGTTTTGGGTCTAGCATGTAAATAAACTTACTTTACCTGAAAAGATGATAAATACTTGTGTACATCAATTTTTTCATTGACGATCGAGGCTCAAAAACTCAGCTTAGGCTCGGAAATCAGGCTTTCACTAACTGAGTAACTTGGGCAAGTTCGAGTCATAATAATAATAATAATAAGGGATTGTATACAATGAGACCATTTACCTTTGATATTAGGAGGTCACAATTACTTAAAGCAATCCTATGTAAAATCAGATAGTTTGGGTGTGTCACAAAGTTACACAAAAATTCTTTTGAAGTTTGAGTTTGGTCAATGAAATAAATACAATCATTCAATTTCACATCCAATGGTCAAGAAAATTGTGACTACCTTGTATCAAAGATAAATGGTCTCATTGTATATTTTTTTTAATAATAATAATAATAATAATAATAATAATAATAATAATAATAATAATAATAATAATAATAATAATAATAATAATGATGATAATGATGATAATAATAATAACGATAATAATATGTTAAAAGTAAAAGACAACATAAATATTAGGTGGTATTCTACATGATATTTTTCCAATTAGTGGAAGAGAATTTTATTGTCCCGTGGACATAGGCCATTTGCCGAACTATGTAAATATTTGTGACTCACTTCTTTAATTCTCTACGCTATTTTTCATTCTTTTTATTTTTTCCAAACCTTTGTTTTTTATCCTCTACAAAAGAGATTATTCAAAGAGACAAGAAATATCATGAACAAAATGATAAAGATATTGTAAAAGCAAAGAAAATATCAATCATACATTGTAGGATATTTGGGCAAGCTTTCTATGCTTCTCCTACAGCATAGAAGTTCTATCCTCCCCCTTATCTACCCGTTCATTCTGAATGGAGGGTTTAGTAATATAATTAATTATATATATAATAATTATCATTATATACATTATAATATATTAAAATAGGACAATATAATATCATATAGCGTTATAATAACAATTATAAAATTATATTATAATATAAATTAAATATAATTATATTATTTATAATTATTGTGACGATATATAATTATTATAACTAATTATAGTTTCAATCTCCCAAAAATGCCAATTAAACCTATTATGGCAGAATTCAATTTCCACATATTAGGCTTAAAATGTGGAATTCATTCTCCATGCAAAAATTCGACTTCCGACAATTATATGGAACAAAACCAGCAATTAGACAAGTCAAGTATAAGTTAAATTTTGATGAAAGTTCTTTAAGAAACTTAAGAAGAAGTAGAAAGCATCGCTATGGAAAGCTTAAAAAGGAAGAGGCCCAAGCACTGGTCGAGGGCCTATAACTCAGTACTAACCGTGTATAATGGAGAAAGATTCGAGCAACGTTGTCAATGTTCCAAAAGACATTGGAGCAACGTTGTGAGATGGACAAATGAAAGCAGGGACTGCTTAGAGATGCTCAAGCAATTTTTCCTCAATAGATAAGATTAGGCATATGCTTAATTCAATGAATGTCAACTTGTACGCTCGTGCAGGGAGACCAATATGAAAGCAAGAAGCCTTTGCAAAAAGATTGTGGGGCTGTTAAAAAAATGATAGCCTTCATGTCATAATTTTTATTCGACTTCTTTTCAATTTTTGCTGCAGTTCTAGCATTTAATAAACTCTTTTTCTTTCTTTTTTTTTATCTTTTTGTCTTTTTTTTTTTTGTGTAAAAGATGACAAATACTTGTGCACTTCAATTTTATTATACAATGAAAAACAAGTTTCAATAAATTTGATTAGTGCCCCACGCTAGACTCACCTGAGTAGTGTACAAAGGATAAAAAAGTGCTAAAAATAATGATTAAAAATATTAACAATTAAAAAAAAAATAGAAAATAAAATCAACAATAAATAGCATAAAATGGAAATAAAAAATAAAATATGGATAAAAAAAAAGTGAGTAACAGATATTTCAAAAAGGATATGGTTTGTATAAGGCTGAGGCCCTAAACAATCAAAATAAGGCGCACATTCAAATAGTACTGAAAGATGTTGTTTCAGTACTGGAAATTTTTATAATGGCTTGAAAAATTATTTTCATCTCTAATTATAAAATTTAAAGCTTCAAAAATAGTGTAGATCGAGCAGATCTATGAACACTTGAAAATCTTAAAAATTGACGGTAAAAAATTACATTATAATATTCACTATTTTCAGGACTTCAAATTTATTTTTTCTCATATCCATACATCCTGAGGTCAAGGTGATCGATTTGAGGATTTTTGGGCATTGAAAGAACCTTTTCTAGTTAATTTTTGAGGCATGCCTTATTTTGATTGTTTAAGCCTCACCCTTACATACACTTTTGCCTTTAAAAAAAACTCCAAAACTCCAAAAAGTAAAAATAATAAGACATGGGACAAGAAAAACTCGCAAATCATCATAACAAATCCAAATTATATATGGAATATTTATAAATTATTTCACAATCTAATATAACGTTTACATTTTCTATTTTTAAATAACCTAGGACAACTCAGCACAAGAGGCCGAGTAGAGTTTTCCTATTTCGAAGGAATACTGATAATTTAAAGGCACAACAAATATCAAGAAAAAACTGATAAAGATATCTCAAAAAGCAAAGTAAATATCAGTGATCAAATTGATAGAGATAATGCAAAAAGCAAAGAAAATATCAATGATTCATTGAAAGATATTTTGACTAATAAAGCTCAAGTCAAAATCACTCTCATTTATTGAGGCTTACGTGATGGGCTTCTTAAACACAAGGAAAATATCGTTTTAGTGGACCGCACGCTGTGCCAAAGTAGGTGGCCGCCCTCTGTGCCCATGTGCATGGATCAGCATTGTAAAGTTTAAATGAATCCATCCAAACAAAACCTTATGCATTGGCGTAGTCATTTGTGTTTTCTAGTCTGCCACCGACTAAAAAAGAAATGCAATTTTTTTTTTTTTTGCACATGCCTCCTCAAGCATGGGATCGTATTTATATTATAACAAAACCTAAGTTTTAAGATATATTACTTAATTAACAATCATATGGATTGATTGATCTACGTAACGCATGCTCATCCACTGATTTGCACAACCCAATTTTCTAATGGAAAAGAGGTATTTAAAAAATGGTCAACTTTAAATTGTAGCATGTAAGGTGCACCTCAATTTTTGATGTGGAAAAATACTTTGTTGATCAGAATTATGGGCATATAAAAAATATATTTTAAATCCAAAAAAATAGTCCCTCTAGTAGCACATTATTTAGACTATTCATTTTCAAGAAAATTAAGTCCTTCTTGATCAGCTCCATCCACACCACTTTTAGAGCTGTAAATTTCATAATTAGAAGTAAAAAGAGATTTTTAGGCCATCATAAATGCTTTCAGCACGAGAATTACGTATTTTCATAAGGAAAAGGTTTATATACTTACTCTACTAGACAAACCTTATATACTCCCCCCAATCGTCCAATTTAAATCAAGTGAGCCACTGACCGTTTGATCAAGATCCGACGCTTCTGAGTATTTAATTTTTTAAAAAAAATTTATAAAAAATTATATAAATATTAAATTTGGTACGTGCCATCATCTCAATGAGGTACACCTAAAAAAATAAGTTTGATAAAATACAATGACAATAATACCAATAAAACATTTAGAGGTATTATAGTCACTTTATTTTATTAAGAATATTTTTTTTACATTTTTTACAAGTGCGAGTTTAGGAGAGGAGTGGACACTCAAATTTAATGTCAAAATAGGAGAGGAGTGAACGTCTACAATTTGATGTTAAAATGTTTTGTACAGAAAAAAAAAAAAAGTGTTGAGGCATGACATTGTGATTGGCATGATAGAATGAAGTATATAAATTTATAAAGAAAACTTGCCCTTTTGTAAAACATAGAAGTATATAAATTTTATAAAGAAAACTTGCCCTTTTGTAAAACTGCACCTTACTTTGATTGTTAAGGTACTACAAAATTTGATGTTAAAATGTTTTGTAGAAGAAAAAAAAAAAAAAATGTTGGGGCATGACATTGTGACTGGCGTGATAGAGGGAAGTATATAAATTTTATAAAGAAAACTTGCCCTTTCGTAAAACTTAGAAGTATATAAATTTTATAAAGAAACTTGCCCTTTCGTAAAACTGCGCCTTACTTTGATTGTTAAGGTACTACAAACTACACTCACTTCTAGTTCTACCATTTTTACTGTATTCCACCGAACTGTTTGTCACAATGGGCGTAAACAATGCCGTTATAGGATATTGATTGCTATAACGCTTGCTCATCCACTAATTTCCAAAAACCCAAATTAATTGTGATAATGGGTACAAATAATGCGTTACTCCCCTAAAAGTCTAGTGGCCACTTGCTTACGTGTTTAATTTAGAACTTATATATAGCGATAAAAATTGCAACGTAATAAGATTCCTATCTGTTTTAGGAATCACACCACTCACCTATCACAAGAAGGGAGAGAAAATGAAAAAAAGATAGAAAAATAAAGAAATTCAACTCCTTTGGCATTAATAGGCATGCATACGTGTGCATGGAGATTAAATAATTGGTAAACATTCATAAACTAAAACCAATCTCAAGCACCAAATTATGTCTCTAATTTTCTTGGACCCATCGCCACAGCGAAAGCATGATAAATCCCCCTAACAAATCATACCCAAAAGCCGGCCAAAAAGAATCAAACCCTCCAACTCATCCTACCGTCACCTATAAAACCAACAACCAACCTTGGTCCCTACATAATGCGCACAGTTTTCATTTAATATTGAGACCCAAGTTAGTCATGGGTGTTGTCTATGTGGGCCAAACCTATATGCTAAATATGGCCCCCCACCCCTAAATGTATATCATGGGTTGGAGAGCTCTATAGGCTATATGTGTTTTAAAGCTCAACTTGGGCCGAGTACCCGACCCGGTCCTGAGCCATGCTTCTCGGCCGAGTTTTCGATCACGTTGCTATATTATTAAGAGGAAACGTATATATATAGACTATATCAGTGTTCGAAAGCTCGACTCAGGCGAGTAATCTGCCCAGTCCTGAGCCGAGCTACTCGGCCGAGTTATCGAATGCGTCGCTATTTTGTAAAGAGGAGAGCATAGAGGTTGATAGTATCGCCTCTAAATATATAGAAGCTCTCAAGATAGCCACCATAGAGAGAGGCCCAGGGTCAAGGCAATCAAAGTAGCCATATGCGTTGTTTGCTTTGGGGTGGCCTTGCTATAGTCTTGTGGATTGCCGGTAAAGATCATTGTGTCATTGATGAGAGGGGGGAGCACAGCTTCTGGATGGTCACCTCCACCTTGAGACTTTTGACTGCAAAAAAGGGAACATAGAGAATTTTACAAAAGGGAATATCAAAAGTCAAAATCCTTACCTAAGGAAACCCAACATGGAGGTTATCAAAAAATTGAGAAAGCCTTACATACAATGCACGCATGATAAAAGCGAAGAGTCTTTTTCAATTTTCCTTGCTAAAGGAACACGCACACGCAACCTGGATCGCCCCTTTGGAAACCGGTTCGGATCGACCGGCCACCGGCGAATAATATTTTTTAAAAAATTATTTGAAAAATTTGAAAAACACTAAAAAATAAAGTGAGACCAATTCTATAATAAAATTGGTAGAACTGGCTGGTTCTGTTTTAAAACTGGGTAAAAAAGGCTAATTCCTAAAATTTAGGAATATCGGGACTGACTGGCCTTAGACAATTCCGGCTCCAAATCGAGCCGTTCCGTTCCGGACCCCTTCACCAACTTTTAAAACCTTGCGTTAAACACATTAAATCCAATCTCCACCAACTGGTAATGGGTTTCTTTTTGGCAGTACAAGGTTACAACCATTAACTCTTTCTTTCGTGCGGGTGTGATTTTTCCCTTTATAAATACATCTACACTTGTTGGTTTTTCCCTTATTAGACGGATACAACATCATACTCGAAGAGCCATAAAAAAACATGAAGAAAAAGGGAAACACAATTAAATCTAAGAAACCAAAAGAATGGGAAAAACCTCATTTACTACCAGATAAAAAGGGCCACTAGTATGCCACAATCTATAAAAAGAAATAGAAAATAGTGCCCACACAGCTGGTGAATCTCGACCGTCCACTCTCTACATTCTCCCATATTCAAAAGACCACGTGTAAAAGTTGCCTAGGATTCGTGTAATAAATCACTTTCTACAAGGTCGATAAAAGGAGGTACTTGTCATTCCAAAGATGCTTGGGCAAAGCAGGCGCTAACGGTCAAATTTCAAAAACGACAACTCATGAACCAGACCAGTTTTGGGGCGTTTCCAACTTTTAACACAACGCAAGGTTCATGGGTGGGTTTAACACAACGCAAAGTTCATGGTTGGGTTTCAATTTTCAAAGGAATAAAATATCACTGCGAAAATCTTATGCAAAGAAAATAAATAAAGGCACATTTGATACGTGTAAAAATACTTTCGTGAAAAAAACTTCTTGATTTGTTGCGAGAGCTTTTTCACATCAAATGGTCGCCGTTTGGTTTAAAAAAAATGTTAGACCATATGGTGTGAAAATCACATGCATCTGGTCATATGAGAGAGTTTTATATGAAAAATACTTTCATTGGAGTGGAGTATTTTCATGTGTACCAAACATGCCTAAATGATAATAAACTAAAAATAATAATAAACTAAAATAATAATACGAGAACTCCCTCTCTAATTTTCAAAAGAATTACTGCCTATACAAATGCAATGCAAAAAAAAGCACAAAAAAGAAAAAAATGCAAAAACTCTCCATCGCTCTCTCCACTTACTTTGGAATGGAAGGGCAAAACGTGATCACGTAGTCCGCACCAGAGCACGTAAACGTGCTCGTCGCATCATCGTAGGCATAACTATACGCCCTAGGACAAGCATTCTTGAAGAACTGAGAGTACGATGTAGGCTTGCAAGTGTTTGGATTACCATACGCCCCACTACAACAATACTGTGGACTACCAAAAGCCTCACAAGCACTTTTACAGGCCACACTCTCCTTCCCATCCAAACCCTGCACCCTCAAATCGCTAGGACACACCTCATTGAGGTCCACCAAACAGCCCGTTGTACTACAATTTCCACTCCCCCCTTGAATGGAAATGAGCATAGGCAAATTATATCCATCCACTAAGCTCACATCATAAAAATCGAGACCACCGCTTTGTATTGTGAACTCAGCTAAAGTAGCTGGTGGAGCCGCGCCACCACCTAAGCATTCAATCTTATTTGAACCACAGTCACCCGTTTGGCATGTGAAGTTGTTCGCGGTGGTTGAGTCGGTGGTGCAGAGGGTCCGGGCCCACATGCGACCCGACCATGTGGAGGGGGCGTTAAGAGAGAGAGAGGAAGATGGTTGGAGAGAGAAACCGTTGAGGAGAGAGGAGAGGACCCGGCGTTGGAGAGGATTCCGGGCCATATTGTGTATTTGCAGTTGTTTGTTATCGTGAATGAGGCCGAATGCGTACCTGAAAATGAAAAAAATCACATTATAAATGGCTAGAAAGAGAGTTAATCATGAGGAAACAGAAGTAAGAACAGAAAAATGCTGAGAATGATTAAAATGTCTTTTTCTCTCTTCTCGAAGGGAAAAGAGAGAAATATACAGCAAAGAGAGTAATAATCTAATAACGTTTTGGCTCTTTTCGATGAGGACGAAGCACGAACCCGAAACCGAGAAACAAATATGACTATAATGGGGTTTTTCTCTGTTTTTTCTGTCTATAATGGGGTTTTTCCCTCTATTGTTTGGTAGCAAGAAACTCAGTGACCCAGAATAAAGCAGGAAAAAAATGTGAATATTCCACTATGGGTTTTCCTTTTAGCAAGCAAATCAAAACCTGGAATAAAGCAGGAAAACAGTGTCAATAATCATATAACCGTTTTTGCTCTTGTGACATTTCCATGGTTTGAAAAACTCAAAACCCAGAATAAAGAAGACAAACACAGTAATAATCATAATGGGGTTTTCTCTCTCTCGTTGTTTTTTTAATTTTATTGAAGCAAAAAACTCAGAAACCCAAAATAAATAGACTAAACAGTGAATAATAATAATGGGCCTTCTCTCTTTTTCTGTTGTTGTGCAGCTTTCATGGAGCAAGAAAATCAAAACATAGAAAAAGCAAAGAAAAATAGAGAAATAACCATTTCGTCATAAAAAAAAACAGAGAAATAACCATAATGGGGTTCTATCACTCTCTCTCGGAACAAACCTGTAATAAACAGAGTCACAAGAACCACAACTATTTCTCCCACCATTTTGGCAAGAACACCAGTATGGGGAAAACCGGATCACAGAAACAATCCCGATTGTCTTTTGAAGAAACAGAGGGGTTTTATAAGCAGTAACAAATGGGAAAGGCCAGAAAGGTTCAGGGCCTCTATTTATAGAGAATGGCCTCTCTGTCTGTTGTCGGCAGCGGGATAGGTGACTGTAACACGAAGCCCAAAACCGCAAGGAACAGGGGCCAGGGTTTTAATGGTAACCGCTAGGCCCTCTCCCTCTCTTCTGAAAACCGTTTTTCTCACTTCTCTCTATATAAAGATCCAGATTTTTTAAAGAGATTCAAATTTTTTTCTTTCTTCAATGTACCACAAGAGTATTAAAAGATCCAGAAATAAGACGAAACTGCCCATCTCTTGTCTCGGTCACTGTAAAGTGTAAACCGACCCATGAGCTTTGCAGTGCTAAATACCGGGGATTAAATGAATAGTTAAGTAAACTATTGATGATTTATGTTTTTTCATGTAGGGTAACAAAAAGAGGAAAATGTGATTTGTTCATTGCCATTATTTTGCCATTTCTCTAGCCCTATTTTTTTTTATTTTTTTTTTTTATCCACGGAAATTTTATTGTGTAGAGCACCCTATGCATTTATTCCCTCGGGTAAGATACATTATGTAATATTTTATGGGATTGGGGATGTCAACAATCTCAATTAAAAAAGAAGAAAAAAAAAGTTTATGTAAGGATGATGCCCTAAACCATCAAATTAAGGCCACCCGAAAAATTCAGTGGAAAGGTTGTTTCGATACTAAAAAAATCCTCAAATTGATATCTTTACCTCAAGATACACAGATATTAAGAAAAATAGATTTCAAGTCTTAAGAATAGTGCATCATTTTCAAACGGTCAATTTTAAATATTTTCAAGTGTGATCTATAATGTTTTTTAAGCTTTAAATTTTATAATTAAACATAAAAGTAAAATTTCAAACCATCACAAAGATTTTCGGTATTTTTGAAACTATTTGAAAGTGCACCTTAATTTGATTGTTTAGGGCCTCGGCCTTATACAAACCACGCCCTTAAAAGAAACACAAAAATTGCAAATAAAAAGTCTGTTACATTACTCCTCCCTAGCAATTCTCTTGCTCGAGTACAATATTCAGCACAACAGCATACTACACTCTCTCATAATTTATCCAATAATTTTTTTGGGATGAGCACTAGAGACATGAGCGGCCAAACCAGCACCCACCTTCTTTTGTTTGGTAGAAAATAGGACTGAAATTTGCAAGAATGTATGTGCACTCACTCTTTTGATGGATTTCTAGAACCAGATTCATGTGTGACCAAACTAGAAACTAGCCTCATTTTTATTTTACTTGGTTGAACCCACCCTTTTTGGGTGGATTTTACTATTGCGACATGTTTTTTTTGCTCCCATCCAAAAACAAGCCAAAAATTCTAGCTAGCTAGGTCCTTGATATCAAGGGTGGCAATGGACGAGCTGGCCCAATCAGCCCGGCCTTAAAAAATTAGGGTATGGGCTTTAAAAGTTGCCTGAGGGTAAGGCCAGCCTAGGTCTACCGTCAGGCTGGCCTGGTTCAAACCGGCCCTCTTTTTTATGTATTTTTTTTTATTTGGCCCGACCCGGCTTTTATTGGAATAGGGTCGGATTTGGGCTAGGGCATTTTTGGCCTGATTAGGCCTAGGGCCGGCAACGGGATGACGCGACCCAACCCGTTGCCACCCCGACTTCATATTCGTTCCATGTTTTGGATTGAAATATGGAAAAATCATGGGTGAAACCAAGGGATATTCATCAAAAATGTAACGGCTTCTTGGGGATCCAAAGTCCAAAATGGAGGAAAAGTTGAGAGAGTGGGAGGGAGGGACCTCGGCCGCCGGTGCCAAGTCAGATGCGGCAGCTGCTATCAACTTGATAAACACGTGTTAAATTAATTGTTTTTGTTGCATAAATGCGTTATGTAAAATTACCGACCTTGATAGTGAACAATATTGTTTGTAAAATTCTTTACTCATGATTCCAGGGATTTCCCAACCGTTGGATCTTCGGCATCCATCGAGGATGGATGGTGGGCGGTTATAGTTGGTTGGAGCAGCCAAGAAATTATGGCGTTGAATTTCAACTACATAAACTAATCCCAATTGTTATTATTATTATTGTTCAAAGACTATAGAAATATTGACCATAGAAGCTTAAATAAAATTATATATATAT